GTTAGATAGTGAGAAAATTGGTTAGACGCAAGATTTGGAGTACAAAAAATTTTATGGGCTCATTTTGACTGTTCACTAATAAATTTGGGATTTAAATAAAAATTTGGTGATCAAAATACTGTCAAATATTTATTTAATTTGATATGAAGAGCAAATTTTTGGGTATTTTATAAATCCGCCGTGATGGTAAATAAGATTAATAAAAAGTCACAATTAATATAATAAGAATTCACATATGTGATATATTTTGATCCACCTTACGTACGAGTATTTAAATTTATTTATAAAAAACATCAAAGTTAAAAAAAAAAATCCTTATAATATGAAGTAATCAAGTATAAAATAAAAATAATTTTAAATTTATCTCCATAATTATATTGTGAATCTCAGATGCTATTGGTATAACATTGCGTGATGGGTTTTAATTAAATTTTATATGGCCACACAAGATTTTGCAATCAATTCGTTGTTTTTGTTTAGAATTATATACATACTAATTTTTTTTGGTATCCGGACTTTTTACCGAAGTCCATTTCACTGAAACCATTTCACCGAATTCCATTTGGTTATTTTATTGTTTTTATAATAAAAAATCTTTTCTAGATAAATTTCTGAATTAACGGATTTTTATTAAATTTACTTCGTTGTTTATAATACATTAATCTTTTTTTACTTACTTTTTCATGAATAAATGTTTTCAGGAAAATAAGGTTATTTATTTATTGCTTAACAATTAATATCAGTTACTTGAATGTTGAAGTGATAATATCCTGAAAAAAAAAAAATTCTCTAAAAATAATTTAATTTTTATTATCATTGCGCGAAGAATATTTTTTATAAAAATGTTAATCGCTACCATTTTCGCGAAATTCGGCGAAATGGATTCGATAAAATGCACTTTCAGCGAAACGTCCTTTCGGCGAAACGTCCCTTTGGTGAATCGTTCAAGGCAGGTGATTGACAGTTTCACAAATATGTAACAAGCTCGTCATTTTTCAATCATTAATTGACATACAATATATTAATAATATAGAAACAAAAAAGAGAGAAGAGACAATTGTGTAATCACCTCTGATCACTCCTTTTTTTAACGATATAATACATGCTTGATCATCATATGACTGACATGAGGTTTTCTTATCCTTCCTAACTATTTGGAGTTAGGTGTAAATTTTGCAAAATCCGATTCTCTTCGGCGAAATGGCTTCGGCGAAATGGGTTTTGGGGAAATGATTATGAAAAAATATTTTAATTCTTTTTTATTTTTATTTCTAATAAAAAAAAAAAAAAAAATATTTTTTTTTTATCACACAACAATAAACTTGCGAACTGAGTAAAACATATATTTGGGTATTACGATGCGATGAAATGAATATTTAAGAAAGAAGTAAAGGTATTACACAGCAAATGAAACAATCTAGTAAAGAAGATCGTACTTTAATTCTGTTAATCAACGCATCAAAGATTAATTTGTATTTGATAGTTAGGTCTAATGAGGTGTTTGAAAATCAATGGAGTTGTCATATTTATGGAATTTATGAAATTATAATAATTTTTCTGTATTTATTATACTAGAAATTTTTTATTTGATTTGTAGTCCAGTTAAATGTTATTTAGTAGTTAGATACAGTACTTAGGTTACTTTAATGATTAGATTATATATTGTATTTAAATTAGATTTGTATCAAATTTCTTAAAGAGAGTTATTGTAAAAAAATACTTGTAAACGAACTATATATAATTTTGATCGCCTCGTAACTAAATAAAATACATAAACTATCCCGGTATCCCCGCATTATTTATGAACAAAAATTTACATAAATAAAATAAAATAATTGTTTTGATAGCAACAATAATAATAATTACTACGATAGCTAATTTTTTTTTTTTGGATTCATCCTTTGCGCCATATTACCAAAACTTCATATGCCTTCACTTTTTTTATTTTATTCTTTTGAATTTTTTTCTATACAATATATTACATTGTTAATAATTTTGTAATGTTTAAAACCGTTCATATGAAATTATTAATTGAATTAAATGATGTTTAATACGAAAAAGAAAAAAAAAAGTAACGAATGGCCTTCTTTTCATCGTTTAAAACTTTTCAGAACTAAATTGATATAAAAAGATGCATACGTAAGTCATACGGTAATGCATAAATTCTTAGCAGAAAAACTAAAATTATAATAACGATTTGAAGCAATTTACAATTATGTAATTCATTCATTTATCCGGCCAATTTGTTTAATATCATATAAAGATTCTTGACGTCATTGGTTTCCAAAGAGCTAATATGTTGCTGATACATTATCACACTATCAATAATATTAAATTGTTGTTATATAATTAAAAAATTAATTTAAAATAAATTCAAGGTTACCACTTATCACCGCAAAAATATGTAAGGGGACTGCCAGAAATGACGTCATTTCCTAAGGGGGAGGGGGGTTAAGACCATGATGATGTTACACATCTTCCATTTTTAGACACTTGTAGTTAATATAATTCTAGCCAGAATTATGTTTTAATTTTACATTTCCTAAAATGAATGATGACATGGGGAGGGGGGGTCAAAAATCCTAAAATTTAAATTACGTCATTTCTGGCCATCCCCTAATGGTTTCATCTTTTTATTTTTAATAAAGCATATATATATGATAGTTTCCATTAGTTACATACTTATAATTTGAAATATTTCGATTTCTTCCACAGAAAAGAAATCTTCGGTATCTCTAATTGATTCTTCGTAATCAAATTTATAGCAATTACTCTGACAATAACAATGTCTCCATACAAATTAAGATCACCACCACCAAATGAAGGACACATGTTAATGCTGTCATTTCATATAGCATTTCTTTCGTCATCTGCTCGACTTAAAATATAATCTTTAATACTTTCTTTATTCCTAAATGAGAATATTAAACTATCATTAGTATTTCTATCACTAAAATTAGATTTCCATGTTTCCGAATTATATCCTCCAAGAATTTCATCACTATCTTTCACTTTAATAATTGAAATTGTATGATATTTATTATCACAAATCTCATTAAATTTACCAATAGGAGAAATCCATCACGAGTTCCACGAAGAATTAAATTAAATTCGTACACATTTTTTGTTTTGTCGGTAACTCTTAATTTATCAATCCATCTAGAGATTAATTCGGCATATTGGACTGTGATGATTTTTGAATCAATACTACTTACTGGTCTAATTTCTTTAGTTATTTTTGGTTTTGGATTTCTAATTGGTTTAAAATGATTGATTAAACTTTCACGAAATCTTTTGATAAAATCTCTTCTATACGGATAAACTTTAGTCAAAAATTCATTATAATTCAAATTAAAGTATTTAATATTAGGAATAAATCGTTGCAAAGTATTTCTTAAAGTATTAATATCATCTTTAAAATATAAAGAAGGATCTGAAGGAAGTTTTGGAAATTGAATAATGATTATTTAAGTACACTTTTCCAAACTTTAAAAGCATTCAATTGCTAAAATTATCATGTTAAAGGTGTTGAAGAAGAAAAACCAAACATTTTTCTGAAAGTGAAGGAAAATCGATTGAATTAAAAATTTTTTCTGGATTTTTAGAAATAAACTCGGTACAAAAATTTGTAATTCCAAGAAGGAATCATTTTCAAAGCTTGTTTTATATATCAAGTTAAAATTTTGTTTCACCCAATCTTCTTTATCTTTAACCAGAAACAATTGTAAATAATCGATTAATTTTTTAAGGCCTAGTTCGCTAGAAGAAACTAAACATTAATGATATCCAAAGTATTATATTCCTCTAAAGAAAATCTCTCTCAATAGATATATATCTAAAATGAAACTATTCGAATATTTCCGCAAGTAAATATTGTGTTTATTTTTAAATAAAAAAAGTCGCCATAATTTATTATTTCTCTTACCTCAATATTGTTTGGAAATTTTCCTGTCGAATATTTGATAATTTAATACGTGGTAAGCCTCCATCATCTTTATCTTTATTAATGTTAGTTGGTAAAATTTTCGCAAATAAGGAGAACGATAATTTAAAATAACAATATGAGCATGAAAAACTTTTACGTAAGGGTCATTGCCAACTTTAAAAGTAATATCACAATAATTCATTATCTTCTAAAATTTCAAGAAAATTCTGAGATAATATTGATAAAAATTTATCGTTATACATTGTAAATAACTTTGGAATTTTTGGTTGTTTTTTTTTTGAAAAAAAAAAAAAAACGTAAAATTTATCTTGACTGAAACAACTGAAACAACTGAAACAAAGAAATAAAGAAAAACAAAGAAACAAAAAGAAACATCACCAGCACGGTAAATGTTTTGATCATGTGTTTCGGTCACACTATCACATGATTTTTATAATTAAAATTTTTGAATCACATGATGGGCGCGATATTTTTTAATATTTTTTAATACTTTTTTTTTATTTGATGTTTTTTACATTTATAGAGAGTGAGTTTTTTATTAAGCATGGTTTACTACTAGTAAGATTTATTAAACACTTTATATATTAATAAGGGACAAGCCATATTATGCCATATTATGCCATGGGTATGAAAAATTTGTCAACAACTTTAAAATTATCTTTAAAATTCAATAACAAAATAAAAGCAGCTTTATAATAATATTATACACCTAAATGTCTGTCCAAAGCGTTAAACCGTTATTTAATAACTACTATTACATCTGCGAGATGTAATACAGTTTTGATTTGGACTATGAAACTTAATTATTGCCAAACAGACAAATCTTTGCAAAATAATCAAGTGTAATCTATCCAAAATCCGCGGATATGGTGTATCTGGCAATATTGCAAATCACATAATAGCTTATTCAGCACTTCGAGCTGAATAGTAAGTTGATAATATCCTACAAAAAATTTATTTCGTCGTAAAAGAATAATAAAATCAATAAATTTCATTTTTAATTAATCAAAAAAAAAAATTAAACAAACATTTGAAAAATTCATGGAATTAGTGAAGAAAATATTGAAGAAGCTATAAAGGATGCTTTTATGTAAACAGATAATGTTTGGAAAGATGAAAGTTCTAAATTTTTTGCCTGATGAAAAAGACCTTGCTTTCTAAGTACAATGATAGTAGTACTGCAGTAGTAACTGTGATAACTCCAAACAAAATTGTCTATGTTGGAAATCTTGGAAATTCACGTGCTGTTATGAGCAATTTTGATAGAGAATCTCAAAGAATAATCATTCAAGCAGGAAGAAACCCAGAAAATTATAATGTATCCGTTCTTTTGATGACTTTAAAGTGAAGCGTGTAAGAATAATCCTGATAAAGGACCAAAAGAACAAATTTTCATTGCTTACCCGATATGATCATGTTCCGTAAAGTTGATACAGATACTGATTTCTTAGTCTTAGCACGTGATGGAATCTGGGATCGCATGTCATTTGAAGATGTCATCAATTTCATCAATAAGGATATTAAAATAGATAAAGCTCTGAGTAAAGCTTGTGAAATTAACTATCTATAAATTTCTTTAGAACATACTAAAAATTTCGAGTAATCTATTGAATATTAGATGATAAAATTTTAGTATTTACCATAAATGACGTTTTATTTCACTAGTTTAGCACTAAGAATTACATCAACCAAAAATTTCTCTAAAATGTATCACCGTTATCTCATCTTATATACTGTTAATAAAAATTTGATTTTATCTTTAAAAAAACGATTAAGCAAGCATAAGATTTTATTTATTTCAAAATAAATTTTATTTGCATATAAATAAAAACTCGTAAAACATCTAATTGTTTGGCATTTATCTCCTAATGATTTGAAATACTTCATAATCTCCTATTGGGAAATCAGCTTCAGTATCTCTTATCCTTTTTTCGTAATGCTCCTTACTACAATAAGTTACGTTGAAGTCTGTAGATACATCATCTAAATCTAAATTTTTATAAGAATTTATGTTAAGATCATATCCAAACTGTGGACCACATTTAATGCTATTATCTAAAGCACAATTGGCATTTTTTACATTACTTAAAATTGCATCATTAATATCCATATTTTTAAATGAAAAAATAAAACTATCTTTAGTTTGGGTCCATAAATCAGAAGATTCCCATTCTAGAGGATTATATCCACCAAGAATTTCTCCAGTTTCTTCCACTTTAATAAATGTAACAGTTCTAGGTTTACCATCACATAATTCATGAAATTTTTTAGGGGTAAATCCATCTCGACTTCCTCTTAATAATAAATCAAATTCATATGGTAAATATGATTCTATACAATTATCATCATTAATAATCACTTTATCAACCCATTTTGAGACAGTTGAAATAATATTAAAATCAATAATTTGTGAAATTATTCTTGGACTTAAAATGTTGTCATTTGACACACTACCAGGATCCAAATGAGAATTTGACAATTCTTCATATAGTCGTTGACCTAAGAGTTTTTGATATGGACGAACTTTTTGTGAAAATTCCCTGGATGATAAACAATAAAATCTAATTAAAGGCAAACAGTGCTGTAAGATATTTTTCATTGTTTTAAAATCATCATCTGACCAAGTTTTAGGGTCTGGAATAAGATTTGGATTTTTTGCAAGACCCCATTTTAATACATGCTCCCAAATTTCAACTTCTTTCGTTTGTAAATCCTCTCTTTTAATAAGCGAAATTAATGACTTTTCAGAAAGTGAAATAAAGTCAATTGAATTAAATACTTTATCAGGAAATTGAGCCATTAAATTTGTACAAAATTCGTGAAGTTCTAATAAATTATTAGATTGCGAACTAATATGTTGAGCAAACTCAAAATGATGTTCTATCCACTCTGGCTTTTTTTCAATTAAATATTCTTGTAAATAATCAACTAATTCTTGTAGATGAAGATTATCTGCAGCGACCAAAACTTTAAGAAAGTCAGAAGTATCGTTCACATTTAACGGAAGAATACCGCCATAAATATACCTATATTACAAAAATTTAATAAATATTATATTATCAGTTATAACTTATGACTATTATTTAACTTGTTATATAAACTTACTCTAAAATTATTTGAAATATTTCTGATGAAATATTTGATAGTTTAATATGTACTAAATCATTATAATTGTTCCTTTTATTGGAAGCAAAAATTCGTCGAAAATATGGAGAACGGTAACACAAAATATTCATGTGAGCACGAAATATTTTTACGTTAGTGTCTTCACCAACTTCAATTGTTGTATCATAATATTTATCATCTTTCAATAATTCAAGGTAATTTTGACTTAATTTCGTAAAAAATTGAGTAGACATTTTTTTTTAAAAGAAAGATTTTTATTGTGAGAAAATTTATAATTGTTTCATAGTAAACTAACCCATTTACGTTAAATTGTTGACAATCTGCACAACCTGCGGCTTATCACTTTCAAATGATTGTTTTTAATTTTTGTGGCTTTTTTTTTTTTAATATTAATAGCCGCCGCTGTCATATCCCGTGAACTCGGTGGAGGTAGAATTAAGAGCATTTATTAGGCTGTTCTATGGCAACTTGATTGATCTTTTGATAAAAATATAATGACGGCCATCGGAACATACACATGACCCCGACAGCCAAGTAGATCAGCAGGCGCAGGCATATCATGCTGTATCTGTCACGTGGGTTCAATTGAGATCTACTTTACTATCCTAAAATGTTTCAGTTAAATTAGAAATTTTATACCGTAACATTTGGTCTGAATAGAGGATTAGAAGTTAAATTTCTGCCGGAATTTAATAGAAAATTTGCCAGAATTAATGAAATCCAAGTTTACACTCTCTATGAGGGTAAATTATAAAAAAAATAAACAAGATCAATGTTATAAATGTATTTTAATTATACATAGTATTTAAATTACAAAATTTAAAAAATTTACGATTAAATTAATTTGATTTTAATTATTATTATTATAGTACGCGAGCAATACACTTATTTTTACAGCAAAATTTTAGCCGATCACCAGTGTTGTACATTTTTGATGTCCGCAGCTTTTTTTGGTTGTCCCGGACATGTCCGCGCTCTGTCCATACTCTTCTGTAACTTAAAATTCTTTACAAAAATTATATTTATTTATGCATAATTGGATGCTAAACATTTTTGCTAAGTATTGAACAAGGTTATCATAGAAAAATTTCGAGGGGTTATCATTTCTTTTTTGTGTAACATGTCCCGGACATTGTCCCGTGACAACACTGCCGATCACCCATTAATCATGTGATATTGCTGATATTTCTCGCGTGCTATAATATTATCGTACGACCTGAATATTACTTTTAATAAAATGTTTTTTCTAATATTATAATATTAATAATAACAGCAGTGTTTATTACAAAATGAATAACTCCTTCTACTAACAACAGCAATAAATAATATACAATATATAGTTTATCCGATGGTATAAGCTTTAATCAATATGTAACCGTACGATAATATAAATTCTTATACCTAAAGGTTTTTGGTGATACATTCATTAGTTTGCTTATGATTATTTGTTGTAAAATATCTATGATCTTAATAATTACGTACAATTTGATCAAATCTTTATCTTTTTCCTTTTTTTGAAGTATTTACCAAAGAAAAATAAATCAATACGAACTGATTATTTTAAACTATTATACAGACTTATCTCAAAATTACAGGATCGGTCAAAGTTATAAAAAACATATTAATTCATAATTTTCTAACTAAATAAATGTCTTAATACTTTTAATTTTTTTATAAAATTTTCTATACTATTCTAACTATTTATCTAAACAATATATATTAAACTACTATTAAAGTTTAATCTGAAAGGTCACATCCTTAATCTTAGTAATTTCTTTGTGTAAACTTGCAGAAACAAGCTTCATAGTCTTTCTAATTATTTAGTTCTGCGTGAAGTATTTGACATTTTTTGCATTAATTTTGAAAAATATAAAATACAATATTCAAAATATGATGTATTTAAAAACATTTATTAATATTTTTATCGTAGAAATGGATTTGTTAAGAGCTATTTACTACTACTACTTGACCATAATTTTCACACTTTATTCATTCTTAATTTTTTCATGCCTCATCAAAGATAAGTAAGATAATTAATGCAAAGGTAATATGGAAGATATGGTCTCAATTCAAAAAATATATCTCTTGATACATAATTAAATAAATATTGTATAAGATAAAAGATAAATAAATTTTCTTTTTGTTTAAAATTTACTCAATTTAAAATTGCATAATAAACTTTTCAAAATTATTATTTATTTACGTATATACAATAAAATTTTCGATCCTTCAAGGATAATATGAAATACCTTATATTTCTTTCATTTACCATATTTACTAGACAAGGTTCATTTACCAATCATATAATATTATTATTTATCTTCCTAGCTTAAAGACAAAAAAGTTTATGTGCGAACTATACTCTGTATCCACCTTGATTTTCGTTAATTAAAAGGTTTTTTACTTCAAATACCGGGGTGATCATCACCGTTGGCCAGAATTATCAAATTTTACCGGCACTCTATTTTTTTAATGCTGGTCGATTGTCATAATTCTACATAATACGAATCCCTATAAAAAAATTGGATACGTTTTTTATAAAGTTTTTATACGATTTTTTTTCCTTAGAAATAAAGTATCATAATAGGATACGGAAAAATGCACAATTCCGTATCACTAAAAATATGGTTTGGATACGGAATTTGCACGGGATTTATATGGAATTTACATGATTTGATCACTGATTTTATCACGAAATTTATACGATTTGGTCACTGAATTTACTATTTGTATTACAGTTTACTATAATTGTATTTACATAAATCTAATTTTACTTTATTAAATTAAATAAAAAATAAAAAATAAACAAAGTACCTGTCTCTTATACACATCTATTAAAATTTAAGACAATTTTTCAATAATTTAAATTTGTAGCTATTATTCAATTAATCATAATTTATAAAATTTTATTACATTCAAATATTTTGTAAGAAATTTGTAAATTTGTAGTATAATTAGTATAAATTATTCATCACCTTCACTATTTGAATCTGTATAACTGTCATTTTTTTTTTTAAAAAAAAAAAAA